ATAGCAACAGTATCTAAATGCATGTGATAAAAGAGCCAAAATGGACCTTTGGAGGAGGAGAAAGTACATTGCAATGGAGGAATGGCAGGAGGTCATACAGTACAGGACACGTAGTTCTACATGTATGTACATGACATGGCATTGGCTATTACCAATGGTTATACTCTTGCTATTGTAGCGTATCCCACCGCTGGCACCAATTCTGTAGCGGGCCGCAGTCTCTCTCGGAGGCAAATGCAGACGGGTCTCAGTGAACACACTGTTGTTAACTTTATTATTACTAAAGACTGGATTGAAGGTTGAACTCTAACTCTAACTCTAAACTGACATCACTGAAGGTTCTAACTGGCCTTTCTAACTGTACTTCTAACTGGCGTGTAGAGAATTGTGAACAGCAGCTTTTATAGGCAGACAGCGTAAATGCTGCAGCAGCAATGGTCACGGCAAAGGCTCAGCAGAGAGAAGAAGAAAGGTCAAAGTATGTTGTGTGGGCTACAGTCATTGCACAAGGAATGCCATTTGATTCTATGCAGAAGAAGGAGCTGAATAGCAGTGTGGGCAATGGGCGTAAAAGAGGCGGTTGAAAGTGCAGCAGTATTTCTAAGGTCAAGAAACATTGAACGCAGTGAGACTAGTTGCTATCCATGTCATGGATCTGCAAGCACGGTACAGAGTTGCAAGTGCGGGGTACGGGTGCGGTGTAACACGCGTGACCAATACATTGAAAGTGATTCATGCTGCAGCTGTGTGAATTACTAGCGTGCCAACGCTACACTATTACCATGCACTACCTCTACTTACCGGTATATACCTCACTACTTCTACATGTACGTACAGTCAACTTCGCTAATAACGACTTCGGATATAACGACAATTCGCGAATAACGACAGAATTTCCATGCCCAGAGCAAAGTCCCATCTGACTGTATACATTTAACTTCGGATATAACGACTATCTGAATAACGACAATTCGCGAATAGCGACATGATTTTAGTGCCCCGAGGTCATATTCACTGCTTGAATAACGACTTTCTGGTTTTTTGACAGCTATTTCAAGTACCTGGCATGCAGAAGTACCAGAAGAACCCGTGGCGATGGATAAGGCACACATACAAGAAGATACAGCCAGGGGGTGGGTGTTTTTCTTTTTTCTTTTCTTCAAAATAGTTGGAATGATCAGCACACCTATTGGACATGTAGTTGTACAGTACATGATTGCACATTAATCTTCATACACGTACATGAACATGTCCCTGTAGATGGCTCCAAAAGGTAAATTTTTCAATTTATTTCCCTTGTATATTGACTTTATTGTTCCTTTCAATTGCAATACGAAAATAAAGTACAAATTGACGTAGAGCATGAAAAGAGCTTCATTTCGATATGCATGTCATACTATACAAAATATGGGTTCACAAACATTCAAATGGGACTTCGGATATAAGGACACTTCGCGAATAAGGACACTTTTCTGATGCCCCGCCGAATGTCGTTATTCGCAAAGTTGACTGTATTTCCCACACCATGGGTGGACATCCTGAGCTGCTCACATGTGTGAGCTCCTGCTTTTTTTTTTTTTTTTTTTTTTTTTGCGGAATATTGGTCCGGCAGCTGCCGGACCTGCCAGACCGCCTGCTACGGCCCTGCACCGTGAAGGGATTTGGCTTTCTTTTGTCGGCCACCCTTCCTCGCCGCAGCAATAGCCGTGCAAATGCTGCACTTCGTGTCTGTATGTGCAGACCATTGGTGCAAAGCTGGCAGTTTCTGACCACAACCACCACTAATACTAGCAACAGCAGCACTTCCTACTGTCTTCATGACAGACGTCATGCTATCAAAACACGCCTTGCAAAAATGACTTGGGTGTATATCCTCCTTATCTCCTTCCACTTTCTCACCAAACGCACGAAATATGTCTAGGGAGTAATCCTTGACACTATAGGTTGGGGCACTCCATGACTTGTTGCCCTTACGGTGGGTTGGTAGCTTGCAGCCACCCAAACGACATAGGGAATGCAAATGCCCCACATGAAACGCATAGTCATGATCAGGATCCATCGTAACACTCCACACAACCTATGCACACAAATTTGAAAATTTTGAAAACAAGCACAATGTACCTTCGGGTAAGTCGCCGAGAACATGGATCTGCCCTTCAGAACACGAAGAACTTTTCTGAGCGTGGAAACAAGAGATAGTCCTACCTGGAAAAACCTCCCAAAGCCGTGGCGTTTGCTCCAGTAGGGTATACCAGGCGTCTCCAACTCCACTTCGAATCGTTACCAAAGTCTCACTACGTAGCAGCGTTCAACAAGGAAGTCAGCAAAGAAACAGTTCGATCGGGAAAGAAACAGTTTTTTCGGCTCGGTTCCTGCAAGGCCCTACACTACCGCATGTATAGAGCTAGTTGGTGTGATTCTCGTTGTTCCGTGCAGCTCAGAAGGGCCTCGATATCAGCATAAGTCGACGATCGCGTCGAGCAAGTTTGAGAATTTTTTTGAATTTGAGTGCGGGGTTTCCCCGCAATCACGACTACAGAGCCTGTACTCATACCCACGCTGCTGTGCACTAGATCACGCACTGTGAGACAGCCGTGGTCAGTGCTGGTGCTGTCAGTGCTGGTGTTGTCAGTGCTGGTGTTGTCAGTGCTGGTGTTGTCAGTGCTGGTGTTGTCAGTGCTGGTGTTGTCAGTGCTGGTGCTGTCAGTGCTGGTGTTGTCAGTGCTGGTGTTGTCAGTGCTGGTGTTGTCAGTGCTGGTGTTGTCAGTGCTGGTGTTGTCAGTGCTGGTGCTGTCAGTGCTGGTGTTATCAGTGCTGGTGTTGTCAGTGCTGGTGTTGTCAGTGCTGGTGTTGTCAGTGCTGGTGTTGTCAGTGCTGGTGCTGTCAGTGCTGGTGCTGTCAGTGCTGGTGCTGTCAGTGCTGGTGCTGTCAGTGCTGGTGTTGTCAGTGCTGGTGCTGTCAGTGCTGGTGTTGTCAGTGCTGGTGCTGTCAGTGCTGGTGTTGTCAGTGCTGGTGTTGTCAGTGCTGGTGTTGTCAGTGCTGGTGCTGTCAGTGCTGGTGCTGTCAGTGCTGGTGTTGTCAGTGCTGGTGTTGTCAGTGCTGGTGCTGTCAGTGCTGGTGTTGTCAGTGCTGGTGTTGTCAGTGCTGGTGTTGTCAGTGCTGGTGCTGTCAGTGCTGGTGTTGTCAGTGCTGGTGTTGTCAGTGCTGGTGTTGTCAGTGCTGGTGCTGTCAGTGCTGGTGCTGTCAGTGCTGGTGTTGTCAGTGCTGGTGTTGTCAGTGCTGGTGTTGTCAGTGCTGGTGCTGTCAGTGCTGGTGTTGTCAGTGCTGGTGTTGTCAGTGCTGGTGTTGTCAGTGCTGGTGTTGTCAGTGCTGGTGCTGTCAGTGCTGGTGTTGTCAGTGCTGGTGCTGTCAGTGCTGGTGTTGTCAGTGCTGGTGTTGTCAGTGCTGGTGTTGTCAGTGCTGGTGCTGTCAGTGCTGGTGCTGTCAGTGCTGGTGTTGTCAGTGCTGGTGTTGTCAGTGCTGGTGCTGTCAGTGCTGGTGCTGTCAGTGCTGGTGCTGTCAGTGCTGGTGTTGTCAGTGCTGGTGTTGTCAGTGCTGGTGCTGTCAGTGCTGGTGCTGTCAGTGCTGGTGTTGTCAGTGCTGGTGTTGTCAGTGCTGGTGTTGTCAGTGCTGGTGTTGTCAGTGCTGGTGTTGTCAGTGCTGGTGTTGTCAGTGCTGGTGTTGTCAGTGCTGGTGTTGTCAGTGCTGGTGTTGTCAGTGCTGGTGCTGTCAGTGCTGGTGTTGTCAGTGCTGGTGTTGTCAGTGCTGGTGTTGTCAGTGCTGGTGTTGTCAGTGCTGGTGCTGGTGTTGTCAGTGCTGGTGTTGTCAGTGCTGGTGTTGTCAGTGCTGGTGTTGTCAGTGCTGGTGTTGTCAGTGCTGGTGTTGTCAGTGCTGGTGCTGTCAGTGCTGGTGTTGTCAGTGCTGGTGTTGTCAGTGCTGGTGTTGTCAGTGCTGGTGCTGTCAGTGCTGGTGCTGTCAGTGCTGGTGCTGTCAGTGCTGGTGTTGTCAGTGCTGGTGCTGTCAGTGCTGGTGTTGTCAGTGCTGGTGTTGTCAGTGCTGGTGTTGTCAGTGCTGGTGTTGTCAGTGCTGGTGCTGTCAGTGCTGGTGTTGTCAGTGCTGGTGCTGGTGCTGGTGCTGGTGTTGGTGTTTATTGTGTTTAGTAGTCAGTCTCTCTCTTTTAGAGCCCGGTCACACATGCACTCGAAAGTAGCGTATACGCTGAAGCGAGGTCGCAGGAGCGAAAATGGCATGGCAACGGCGAAAAGCGGAACTTCCGCTTCAGCGGAAACTCGAAACCGCTTCCGCCAAAATTTTCGAAGCGAGACTGTTGCTTCTGTGGATTCGCTTCCGTGGAAAACACCACGGTCTGCTGTATATGGACTTGCTACGAGAAATTTGTATGCGTATGATGTCCATTCAACAAAAATGCGTGGAAGATAGTTGAGACCTCGTCTATTCTCCGTACCGTATGTACCACAGTCCACTTTACTCTCATTTTCCGCCAAAGTAGGAGTTGTGCCCTGTTTGCATGTGTGACCATACACACGTGGTTTCGCTGGAGCGACACCAGGCTCGCTGCCGCCGAACCTCGTCGCCAAAGCGAAACCCCAATGCATGTATGACCGGGCCCTTAGCGAATTTCGGTTTCACTAAAACTTGGCTCCTTTCCCCCATAGTCATGTCATACCGGGTACCCAAAGGCCCGTTATGAGCTGCATCTGATGCTTGGATCATTGAGTGTAGTTGTGTTCATTGAGTGTAGTTGTGATCATTGAGTGTAGTTGTGTTCCCAAGTTATAGCCACACACAGGTGCAAAAAAGTCAACCTGACCGACTCATGCAATTAGTTGTTAGTTTTTATGAACGTGATTATTGATTGAAAAAGGTTGCAGGAATATTGTAAAGAAACAATGTCATGTGAATTTTTCTCATTATTGTATATGCATGTTGGTCTTATGCAGGAAGAGTTGTCATCTACGAAGCTGATTGCTTTTGGTGGATCATACGGTGGTAGGTTTCGTCGGATACATTAGTGAAAATTCCACTTCCCAAATTTTCCAGGTTCAATATTTTGAGCTCCCTTGTGCAGTCAATAATTATTTTCGAAACGCAACCTGTAAAACCCACCACCCCAACCAAAATTTTTGAAAAGCGTGTGTAAGCCTTTAGGGACTGACGAAAAAAGAAAAGCGTCCAGAATTTGAATAGCAATCACACTGTACATGTGGGGAGAATGAAAATACAAAATTCATTTCGAGCGTCAAGTGGTAATCTCCACGAACGACGTCGAATTCCTTCACCTTTGGGATCGCCAACACCTTCAGTGCAATCCTTGCAACCATCCTTATGAGTTTTGTCGTTGTCCGTGGCCAATTAGCTCCTCGATATCGAGATGAAAAAATCAGTGAATATCAGCGTCAATGGCGTATCAGCGTCAACTCCTGTTTGGAGCGGAAAAGCGTGGTCCGTTCTTGCTTTTTTTTGGAGCGTCAACTCTCGCTTTTGCCGCTCTGGCGGCAAGTTACTATGGAGATTCGGATTATAATCCCAGGATTATTTCAATTTTGCCGCAGTCTGACCAGGCCCTTATATTCATAGAATGGTGGATGTGTGTAACTGTGTATGCCTAGTATTAGTGGGGATGTGTAGAGCTGTGCATGCCTAGTATTAGTGGGGATGTGTAGAGCTGTGCATGTATAAGCAACACTGATGCATCGAGCAGCATCTTATGATGAGCCTCGCCTTGAATTCTGCCTGTCAGGAACTCGCACCTGGTGTCAGTGAAAGCAGGAATAAGCTGAATGGCCGACATATACCCTTGCTCTCTCTCTCTCTCTCTCTCTCTCTCTCTCTCTCTCTCTCTCTCTCTCTCTCTCTCTCTCTCTCTCTCTCTCTCTCTCTCTCTCTCTCTCTCTCTCTCTCTCTCTCTCTTTCTCTACCTGTCTTTATAAATGTAACTTACTCTCTCTCTCTCTCTCTCTCTCTCTCTCTCTCTCTCTCTCTCTCTCTCTCTCTCTCTCTCTCTCTCTCTCCTCCCCCCCCTTCCTCTCTCTCTCTCTCTCTCTCTCTCTCTCTCTCTCTCTCTCTCTCTCTCTCTCTCTCTCTCTCTCTCTCTCTCTCTCTCTCTCTCTCTCTCTCTCTCTCTCTCTCACTCTCTACCTGTCTTATAGCTATGTTATGTCCTCTGTTTGAACGGTATGTATCTGCAGGTATGCTGACAGCCTGGTTTCGTATGAAGTATCCCCATGTTGTTGATGGGTATGTACATGTAGACGGACACACACACACGCGCACACACACACACACACACACACACACACACACACACACACACACACACACACACATGCAAGCGTGCCTTTGGACGTTTGGATGCCCATTGCTCCTTGCAATAATTGCATAGGGAGTTTCAATAATTATGTCCTGTGGCAAATCACATCGTTTGGCTGACTGAAGTCTTTGCCACCAAACATACAGTCTTGGTTTTGACAGAGCAGGCTAAGGACAGTCACAAACGAGGCGCCAGTCTCAGCTCTGCAATAAGTCTCACCAGCAATGGGTACCCGAATTTGCAGTGACAGCGTCCATCTAGCTTGTCCTGGGGCCATGCCTAGGTCTTGTGTTGAGGCCATCAGATAAAAGAACACACACACACACACACACACACACACAAACACACACATACACACCACACACACACACATACACACACACACACACACGCACACACACACACACGCTACTACTAGTCTACTACTACTACTACTAATGCCCGGCTACCACTAGGCCTAGGGTCACAAGACTCCATAAAGCAACCTGATTCAGGCAGGGAGAGTTTCACGAGTACATCTACGCTGAGACATGTGGTAAGCTTGTTGAAAGCGTTGAGTGCAAAGCTGGCTGGTGTGCTGGTACTGGACCCATTACACCACCATTCCACAGCCAATAGACAACCATTCCACAGCCATCTTACGTCTATTCCACAGCCATCTTACATCCATTCCACAGCCATTCCACAACCATTCCACAGCCATCTTACATCCATTCCACAACCATTCCACAGCCATTCTACAGCCATCTTACATCCATTCTACAGGCATTCTACAACCATCTCACATCCCTTCCACAGCCATTCCACAGCCATTCCACAGCCATTCCACAGCCATTCCACAGGCATTCTACAGCCATCTTACATCAATTCCACAACCATCACACATACACGAAGCACGTTGTGCACGCTGATGCAGAGTAAAAGCAGCAGTGACATGTCTTGCATTTCAAGGATTCCGTTTGGTCTGGTTATCTCTGCTGTTCAAGTTGAACAGGCTGGGAACAGGCTGGGTAAGTGAGTGATGTTGCTGTGTTGGTACAGAAGTAGGTTTTTGAGAATGTCAAACTTACCTATATCCGACTATAGGCTCAAACAACTTTGAAAAGTTGTTTGCTAGAATTGTTGCTTCTGTTGTGTTATCTTGTTTATTATCCAGTGGCTTGGCTGCGTCTGCTCCTATCTTCCAAGGAGATACGTTGTGCTCAGTAAGTCTTTTTTTATGTACAGTGATGCTCATACATTGTGCTCAGTAAGTCTTTTTTAAATGTACAGTGATGCTCATACATTGTGCTCAGTAAGTCTTTTTTTAATGTACAAACGATGCTCATACATTGTGCTCAGCAAGTCTTTTTTTAATGTACAGTGATGCTCATACATTGTGTTTAGTAAGTCTTTTTTTAATGTACAAACGATGCTCATACATTGTGCTCAGTAAGTCTTTTTTTTATGTACAGTGATGCTCATACATTGTGCTCAGTAAGTCGTTTTTAATGTACAGTGATGCTCAGTGAAATCTAATGCGAAGCTTTAGTGAGAACAGCTCTAACATCCCACATTAGGCGAGGCTTGATGATCATGAGATTTTGAGAAAGCTCAGCAAAGTATTCCTAGGCATTCTTTGTTTTTCGTCTCCTCGTAAGTGATTCATTATTCTCAGACTGGAAACTTCAGCAAGAAAACCTGATCAATGCGGAGACCGCACACTGATCAATGACAAGACAGCACACTGATCAATGACGAAACCGCACACTGATCAATGACAAAACCGTATACTGCATTTGCTCTTCTGTTTCTCCTTTCAGGCTTTCAGTGAAGTCGTTACGAAAGATTTTAGTGAAGTCAGCCTTGGATGTTCGCATGGTATCCGGGACATATTTCAGAGACTTCCTCATATCCTAAGTAAGCCTTCATAATCGAGTTTAGTTCTCTGTGTGTTTGTATGTACGTGGGTATGTGTTGGTGCTGTGCTCTTGGGGCCCAATTTCATTTGCCACTACTTGGATTTCGTTTTCGTTTTATTCCATTTCCTCATCATCATTATCTTTTTTATTGCTGCGATGTTTACTGTTGTTGTTGTTGTTGTTGTTGTTGTTGTTGTTGTTGTTGTTGTTGTTGTTGTTGTTGTTGTTGTTGTTGTTGTTGTTGTTGTTGTTGTTGTTGTTGTTGTTGTTGTTGTTGTTGTTGTTGTTGTTGTTGTTGTTGTTGTTGTTGTTGTTGTTGTTGTTGTTTTTGTTGTTATTATTATTATTATTATTGTTGTTGCTGCTGCTGCTGCTGCTGCTGCTGCTGCTGCTGCTGTCGTTGTCGTCGTCGTCACTGTTGTTGCTGTTGTCGTTGTCGTCTTAGGTAGTGTTGGTTCAGATGCTTTTGCTGAGAAGATAAAGCTTTGCAATTCATCCATGGCCAAGGACTTCTCTGATTGGTTACAAGGCATCTTGGCTTACATGGCTATGGGTAAGTCACATTGTTACATCATCCCTACGCTTACCTTACATCACCCCTGCGCTTACCTTACATCATCCCTACGCTTACCTTACATCATCCCTACGCTTACCTTACATCATCCCTACGCTTACCTTACATTCTAGTTTGGCGAAAGATCTGAACGCATTCGCCAAACTAGAATCACTGCAGTACCGTAGACAATTCAGTAGCCTAGTTACATTGCACAAGTTTATTTTCAAATACCGGAACACCTTGACTCAGTTCAGTTTTAATATTTCCCGTAGTGAGAGACGCCCCAACAAAATTATCCTCCCCAAAGCCTTGACAACATCCAAATCACTTTTTTTATTCAAAACCTCCCTTTTATGGAATTGTCTCCCACCCACATTGACTTCGGAATCTTCTGTCTATATATTCAAGAAAGAGCTGCGCAAACATTCTTGTCAGTATTCATGTCTACTCGCTGGCATGCCGTTACCCTGTTCATTGTAGTCCCCCCCCCCCCCCCCCCCCTTCCCAATCTGTACTCTCTTGTACCATCATCCTTCAATGCGACGGACCCCACGATAGGCGGTCAGCCTTTGGGTCATCCTAATACAGTTATTATTATTATTATTACATCATCCCTACCCTTACCTTACATCATCCCTACCCTTACTTTACATCATCCCTACGCTTACCTTACATCATCCCTACGCTTACCTTACACGTACAGCTAGTCATGACTGCCGTGGAGTATAGCCATGCATGGGGTGGAGAATATTAGTTGAAAGCAAGTCAGCCAATATTGAACAAGAGAGGGGCTGGAAAAGGACACTCGCAAAAAAACAAAAAAACAAAAAACAAAAAAGGTCCATTAGGCGAGACCAAAATAAAATCGAGATTCCCGGGCAGGACCCATGTGGAATTGGTGCGGGCGAATTTTTTATTTTTTCCTATGACTGTGTGTATGCGCATATGCCCATGCCATGACGAGCTTTTTTTTTTACTGTATTTTCCAGTAATTTTTAGTTTTTTTATTCAAATTTCACAAAAAACAGGCACGCAGTTTACCCGTTCAATTGTTCTGTTTTTCGGCCAACGATGGTCCTGATCTGTACATCAGGGAGTCGTACAAGCTCGGGTTTGTGTGACTCCACGTCACAGATCTACTCACACGATAAGTACTGTAGATGTATTATGAACTGTTCAAAAAAAAATTGGCCTTGGCTCCATTTTGGTGCGGGAGGGCCCGGGAATCACTAATTTTTTTTGGTCTCGCCTTATGGAGGACGACGAAGAAAAAGGCTACCGAAAAACAACTTTCATTTGATCTCCAGGATTCGGACTCCCCCGGGAGTGAGGAAGACTCCTGTGTTCTGTCACAGGCTCCGCAGGTTGTAGCTAGCAGCACGTGATTGAAGTGCTGCGGAGTAGCTCTGAGTCTGAGGCACGTGATTGAAACTCTTAGTCTTACATACCGGTATTCCTTGACAGTTGTAGTTCAACCAGGCAACGCTGACGGGAGATACTGCTAGTAATACAATCATATGAGTGATACTGCTTGAATAAAGAAGAAAAAGAGAAAACACTCAACAATCCATCTCACCATTGTTTACAACCTATTCCCTGGGGCCATGCAGTTGTATCATCCTCGTTTCAGTCTGATTGACAACGACGTCCACCCCTGAAAGCCTGTCTTCCACCTCTGAAAGCCTGTCTTCGATTCCTGCAAGTCGATGATCCACCTGGGTTAGTCAATAATCCACCTGGGTTAGTCGATGCTCCCTTGCTGCCAGTTTTGCTGACAGATTTTCTTCCACCGCTACTACTGCTACTGACAAACTATCAATTTTATTGGCTTTACTACACTGCTACCTCACTTTTGTCTGTACCTCATCTTGCTGGAGAGGCTGCCGTTTTTTGCTTGTGTGCGCATGCGCTATATGCACATGTGAAGACCGGCTACGTAATCGTACGCGAATGACTGTTGGGACATTCGCCTAAAACATGACGTCACAGAATTCGTAAAAAAAGACAGCTTTTGTCGCAAGCGGCTAGCCTGTCGCAAGACTCCTCATGAGCGCTCGAGCTGCATCAAAAGCGAAGCACGACAGGCGCGACCCAAAGACTGTACATGTGTGCTACGTGTCACATGTGTGTGTGTGTGTGTGTGTGTGTGTGTGTGTGTGTGTGTGTGTGTGTGTGTGTGTGTGTGTGTGCGTGCGTGTGTGTGTGTGTGTGTGTGTGTGTGTCCCATATAGTGCAATGGTATGTGCAGCGATTTCCAATCGATAGGTTGCGGGTTCGATTCCCGACGATTATGGTCACACACTGGAGCTCCAAAATTTGCATCCACTCACTGTTGTTGTGTTGTTGTTGTTGTTGTTGTTGTTGTTGTTGTTGTTGTTGTTGTTGTTGTTGTTGTTGTTGTTGTTGTTGTTGTTGTTGTTGTTGTTGTTGTTGTTGTTGTTGTTGTTGTTGTTGTTGTTGTTGTTGTTGTTGTTGTTGTTGTTGTTGTTGTTGTTGTTGTTGTTGCAGTGAACTACCCCTACCCTGCTAGTTTCTTGGAGCCTCTTCCCGCTTGGCCAGTAACGGTAAGAGTGGTGGTCATATCTCTAATGTTTATGAAAGCACATTAAACCATCCAAGTCACTGTACCGTATTTGCTGGAGTATAGTGCTGCGACACTTTAGATGTACTATTTCAGGCCCCAAATGGCAGGTGTGCACTATGCTCTGAATTTTCAAAGTGCATGTGCATGCACTTTGAAAATTAGTGCAATGTATCCAACAATTGCGAAGTTTGCCGCCTCTGAACCGGAACAAACCATATGACTGTGTGCATTTCTAGTGTCTACAGCTAGCTACACTGCTAACACATGATTGGTTAGAACCCCATCGGTAGCATGTGCATTATAAGTGGAAAATGGTTGATATTGTACTGTCGATGATGCTCTCTAATCTAGGCTGCGTATTATACTCCAGATATGCCTTGAATCGCCAAAATGTTACTCAAAAGAGAGGGTGCGCATAATGCTCAGGTGCGCGTTATACTCCGGCAAATACGGTACGTTCCCCTGTCATTCTCCCTTTACGTACCGCTCATCTATTGCATACATAAGCTACTCCAATCTAATGTATGCGTCAGGTAGCGGGGCGGCGCCTTTTTGCAACTGTTTAGCAAAAAACCTTTCCACCCATTACCTCGTGAGCGTTGATAGTTTTCTCAAAATCTGTTTTGTGGCCGGAACCTGAGATGTCGAAGCACAGGTAAATCGATGCATTCAACATTTTGCTACTATCGTAACTTGGTTAATTCTAGGTCTTTTTGGAGAACAAGAAATGTGCAGCTTGAAAAGAAGACCCTCAGCTCTCGTTTTGAACAGTTTCTGAAGCGATGAATAAGCAGCGTGTAGGTTACGACACTCGTAACTTTTTGGCCAATTTACACTCAGGGCATGATGCTCTCAACGCTCGCCGTTTTCCCTGAACACATCAGCTGATGGCAAGGATACAGTGGTTCAAATTCAAACTAAGACTCTGAGCAGTGGCTGAGCTGCATAGAAGCTGGTACTCATGTCATGTCTGACCCCCAATCACATCTACACACTTCATGTATGAACAGCAACACTTTTCACTTCTTTTTCAACTTAATCCTCCCTACCCGATCTCCCTTTGGTGCGTCCATGGAGCTATGAAGCCGAGACCTCTGGTCGGCTGAGCTTAATGGGCCCCACCACCACACTCCATTATTCACCCCAGTGTCTGGAGATAGGTGGATTTTGTAGAAAAAAGAAAGAAAGAAAAAGAACCCAACTGTGCCACTTTGGCATTCTTTTAATTAAATCTTGGGACAGCTAGCTGTTACAATCTTGTTAGATCTAATGAACTTTGGGACTCTTGTATACATGACATGTGCGCACTGACGAAAAATCAACAGCATTATATGCGTGGGGTGCTGAGGGTGCTGAATGTGCTGAATGACTTAATGTACCGGTCAAAGTGCGTTGACAGTCCAGTCATGTTGTTGTGGAGTTAATCAAGTGATCACATGCCAGCATTGCAGTTGAAAACTGTATTTTTCTCCGAGTATAAGTCGTACCTTTTACACTAAACTTCAAGAGAAAAGGAGGAGCCACGACTGACTATCGAGTGTGACATCCTACTTATGTGATTGAATTGAAACAAAAATATGTTTCAAACCTGAAAATAAGGTGTGATTTATAATCGAGCGCGATTTATAAGCAATGAAACACGCTAAATGTTGCGCGTCATATAAGAGTAGGTGTTAGTATTGCCAAACTGCCTTTTGATTTATATTGGGTTGCCAGCATAAATCCCTTGTCCATAGTTCTTTATTTCTCTTTCTTGTTGCATGCAGGAAGCGTGCAGATTTCTGAACAAAACAGCCTACACCGATGAAGAGGTGAGTCCAGAAATCCTGGCACACAGTCAACTTTGCTAATAATGACCCTTGGTCAAGTATAAGAAATATGTTGTTCGAGGGTTTACACATGCAGTCAAGTGGCTACTTGGTCTGAAGATAGTCTTGTTTACGAGTTGTTTGAAATCTTTTATTCTCACAATGGCCTTGGCCAATACTTATGCGAGGTTAACATCCGCGAGATTGACTGTACTTGAAACTGGATTTCTGGCTACATTATCAGACCTGATCACTACACTTTTCTTGTTGAGCCAGCAAAATGGGAAAATTGATCTCTGTGACATTTGAATACAGCTGTGAACAGTATTAAATGCGCACTCGTGACTATGCACAGACATGTAAGTGAGGTTGGTTTAGTGTTTCCAACCGCGTTTTCTTGTACTTGGTCCGCGTCAGCGATATTGTCGCCTATCTTTCGACAATTTGAACTTAGACTTTGGACATCAACGAGTGCACTTGAGACGATAAAACTTGGTATGATGGAAGGTAAGGTACAGAATGACAACTGGCCATGAGGAATTTATTGTCCAAGGAAGGGTTCATACTTTTTTTGGTCCTCCTCGTCGCTGCTCTCGTCGCTGGTGACAAAACGAGAGAGCTTGGAAGCTCAGGGCCCTACGCTAAGATTTTTTGCCTTGATGACCTAGACCAAAAAATGCATAGGGATGTTATAAATTCTTATAAATTTCTCATTTTTTTAGACATAACCTGGGATTCGAACCCGCACTATCGCCCTGCATGCATCCCCCGATACACTTCGCATACACACATACTAATTCTTCCAAGTTGCTTCACGTTATGATCTTTCATTTGAAAGCCCTATTTGAATATGCATTGTGGCCAGCCGTCTTTGATGGTCCGGTACGGTACGGGACAGGTACGGAACAGGTACGGGACAGGTACGGTCGAGGTAATACGACACCGTCTACCGCATTGATGACATAGGCAAAAAAAGCATAGGGATGTTATAAATTTTTCAATTCTCCTTTTTTTCAGGCATAACCTGGGATTTGAACCCGCACTATCGCCCTACATGCATTCCCTCATACACTTCGCATTCATACTCATTCTTCCAAGTTGCTTCACGTTATGATCTTGCGTTTGAAAGCCCTATTTGAATATTGCGGCCAGCTGCATGTGGCCAGCTAGCTGTGTTTGATGGTACGGTACGGTACGGGACAGATACGGGATAGCGCCAGGCGTGACACAAACAAACAAACAAACACCAAATTAAAGCTGTGTGGACCCTGGCTAGCGCCAGACGTTACTGAAGTAACGTCTTCTGCATAGCTACGGGAATAAATATTTTTTGCTCAGGATCGATACTCTCGCTTTCGCAAGCTCATCTCTCTTCCTCTCCGCTGCCTGGCTAGTTTCTAAAGGGAAGTCGACCGTGACGATCGCCTTCTCTATAGTACTTCGCGTGGACTGCCTGCGTGGTTTAAATCAGTCGCCGTTCTTTGCAAGATTTATTTTGAACGACGATGACTCGTACAGTACTTGCAAATCTCCACGATTCGCTGGGGACTCTGAGCGTTAAGCTGGAGGTGAGGGAACTGCGATCTCAGCTTGGCGAGTGATCCCTGATGTGAGTGATCTCGGCCGTTTTGTAAAATGCCAGGAACTGATTCCGAGTAGCCGATTATTTTCTGGTACGTCGCGCTGCTGTTGCCTGCGCAGTGTGACAAGATAATCTATTTTGATGCGGTGCTGTATCAATCAGAATCACCAACCCGTAGCTCTCGAAATCTAGCTAGACCTTTCAGGTACTCGTAAACTAACCAACTAACCAAAATTGGGGTGAAATGGGCTGGCAAGTGAGCATTGGCGACATAATAACAAAGCTGAAAGATAAGCGACAATATTGCTGACGCGGACCAAGTAGTCATGAGTGCACATTTAACCCTGTTCATAACTTTATTCAAATTGTTGTCTCCACGCCGATTATCTGTGACATTTCTTCACAAAATAAGATTGTGAACAAGAGAAGGGCATTCACGCAGAGCCCAATGCAAAAATGTTTGAAAATAACCGTGTTGAGTTCACCTGAGTTCCGGCTCTTAGATTAGAAGACATGTTCTTTCCACTCACCACACCACTCATCATACAGCTTGCTCTGTTGCTATTTGGTTGGGAAGAGTTGAGGGAATGGACGAAAAACTGGCTATAGCTGGTATGCCGCAGCTCTATTGTTTACACTAACAATTTCCAAATACGAAAATTGAGTTTCTGGAATGACCTGAAATGGGACTACAGTAACTGTGTCGTTTCATTCAGGCACAGATTGGCAGAGTTCACTCTCGAACTCATCTGGATGAAATGAGTCGTATCTCCTTGTGCAGCTACTAACGTCTGGTGACACTATGGACACTTGGCCAAAAGACACTTGTCTAAAGGACACTTGGTCCACCAGCCGTGGTGACTGTGGCGAGGGATGACTTCAACATGCTGAGAGTCTTGTTGTTGTTGTTGTTGTTGTTGTTGTTGTTGTTGTTGTTGTTGTCGTTGTTGTTGTTGTCGTTGTTGTTGTCGTTGTTGTTGTCGTTGTCGTCGTTGTCGCCGTCTTTGTTGTTATTGTTGTTGTTATTGTCGTCGTCACTGTCATCAATGTTGTTGTTGCTGTTTCCGGTGTTGTGTCTACTCTAGCTTCTGACTGCCATGGCAGAACTGAGTAATTTCTACCAGAACTACGCCCATGAAGTGCAGTGCATCAACACATCTAGCTTTGCGTACAAGGGACTGGGAAACACTGGCTGGAACTACCAGGTAGGATTGCATACAAGGGACTGGGAAACACTGGCTGGAACTACCAGGTAGGATTGCATACAAGGGACTGGGAAACACTGGCTGGAACTACCAGGTAGGATTGCATACAAGGGACTGGGAAACACTGGCTGGAACTACCAGGTAGGATTGCATACAAGGGACTGGGAAACACTGGCTGGAACTACCAGGTAGGATTGCATACAAGCATGTATAGTGGACCCTCGCTTTCTGACCGCCTCACTTAACCGATATCCTGACCAATCCGACCACTTTTCCTTGGTCCAGCATTTTTCTCCATAAGCATGCATACAGGGTGGTCAAGAAGAAAAGGACCAATAAACTACAAGTTACGCTATAATGTCCACTAACACCACCAGTTACTAAACAATCAGCTCATCCGATAACATTGTACGACAATTCTTTACTATAAATTTATCCTTGGCTCTCCATCCGAGTCCAGTCTTACTAACCACTTCAGAAATCGGACAACTTTTCCAGGTCCGAAAGGCGGTCAGAATCCCAGGTTACACTTTACTGTTTGGTCTCTGGTAAAGCAGGCATCTGTAAGACTGTAACCCATGCCATACATACCCTACATTCATACAATATCTGGCCAGTTGAACATCGTTTGGAATCCACTGTTAGCTAAACTACCGGTATGGCCACCAAGTGCATAAGCATGGCATAGCAGCCCTGCCAAATGAGATTTTTTGTGCAAAGTGGAATGGGCACATCTGCCATTTTACTGTACCATCATAGTATCTTTTTATTTTGTTTTTGTTTTCTTCTTCCTCCTCCCATTCTCCTCCTCCCATGGTCCTTATGCACATTGTACAGATGTACGAAGTTCTGTGCTAGGGCCGTAGGTGTGTACATACCCGGTTGGGTGTTCATTGTGTGCTATACATGCGCGTTTGACCCATTTAGCCTCACAATTCATGGCAAACGATCACTTTTCAAGCCTTCTTCACTTTGGGATTGAACTAACGACTAGCTAGATCTCTGCCGGAAAAAGATTTCGTATTAAATGCCTTCATGGCCCATTTCATAGTGGAAATAGCAGTAAACACAATAGGGTCCTGCACATTCAACACCCAACCGGGTCTACGGGATTCTACAAGATTCTACGGGATTCCGTGCATCTGTACAAAGTGCATAAGGCCTATTCTCCTCCCATTCTCCTCCTCCCGTCCGTGTAGGTGTGCTAAAATACTACTGTGTTATACCGCTGTCCGGTGCGCGCACGCGTGTGTGTGTGTGTGTGTGTGTGTGTGTGTGTACACGTGTGTACACGTGTGTACACGTGTGTATATCCTTCATTGTTTGCTAGTCATGTACAGAAATGGTATTCCCTTCTTGCAACAATCCTGCCACAGACTTTTTCCCACCAGCTAAGGTGAGTCACTCACATGTTCAACTCAGCTTAGTCACATGTTCAACTCAGGTTAATGAGTTTTATTTTTCGTACTGCATCAGCAGGTACTAATAACATTCTGTCAATAGATCTTCGAAGTGATGATATCACACATACTTGTCAACAACGCATGCCAACAGCATTTCTGGGTACAAACAAACTTTAGCGTGTCCCCTTGCTCTTCACGTTAGTGTGTCCCCTTGCTGTTCACGTTAGTGTGTCCCCTTGCTGTTCACGTTAGTGTGTCCCCTTGCTGTTCACGTTAGTGTGTCCCCTTGCTGTTCACGTTAGTGTGTCCCCTTGCTGTTCACGTTAGTGTGTCCCCTTGCTGTTCACGTTAGTGTGTCCCCTTGCTGTTCACGTTAGTGTGTCCCCTTGCTGTTCACGTTAGTGTGTCCCCTTGCTGTTCAATGTTTTTACAGTAGTATGCAGGTACCTGATGGTGGCAATCAATGGTTAATTGGTTAGCTTGGATAAACAGCTTGTCTAAGTGCCCCTTGCTTATAGTTAGTGGTTTGCTAAGCTGATGGAGCAATGACTGGTCTTCCCAGTATTTCGATGGTGACACAAAGAGTCTGCGACGAGCTGGTGAAAATATTTCAGAATGCTGATCAGAGGTCAATTCTCGCTTGCTTCAGCAACTTTCCGCCTCGTAAAGAAAGTATATTCAGATGTCCCAAGTCACAAGAAAGGATACAGCGCAAAGAAACACCTCTCACAGTCAGCAAAAGAAAACCTGCATGCACGACGTACAGAGCGATGTCCAATTCTCCATGCTCCTCGGGAAATGCTGTAAAAGGTTCAGGATTCGCACCCTGATTATTTATTTCATGCAAGTCACTGCTCTACTCTGCCCCGGAGAAAGGAGGAGAAAGCAAGCAGACTCGTGTCCCTAAAGGACACTAAAAGGATATCCGGGTCCTTCGTGTGAGTTATCTACTCTAATCTGCGCATGCCATGATGTAAAATTTGAAATTTGAAATGCAAAACACCACGTGCTGGGAGACACAATGTTTGTTTGTACCCAGTTGCTACAAAGTTGTCAAGGACCTGACGTCACGATTCGTAGTCCTATTGGTTCACTTCAGACACCTTGTGATTGCCTCTTAGACCAACGCTGTTTTGTGTTCTCTTTCACCCCCCCCCCCCCCTCTCCTCTCTCTCTCTCTCCCTCTCCCTCCCCCCCCCCCCCCTCTCTCTCTCTCTCTCTCTCTCTCTCTCTCTCTCTTCTCTCTCTCTCTCTCTCTCTCTCTCTCTCTCTCTCTCTCTCTCTCTCTCTCTTTTTCTTTCTTTCTTTCTTTCTCTCTCTCTCTCTCTAAGTCTCTCTATGTGCTTTTGTCTACCCTTTCTCGGTTCTGTCTTTGTTTCTAGTGGAACTTTAGTTCCTTTGCCAAGTCCTGCCAGAAGCAATTCCATGGCACATTACCTCGCGAGCACTGGTTGACAACCCAGTACGGAGGTCGCTCTTCTGCTAAACTATTCTCCGGTCACAGTAACATCATATTCAGGTACTCTATACCCACAGTAATATCATATTCAGGTGTATGTCCACAGTAATATCATATTCAGGTGTATGTCCACATAGCATACACTCTGAAACATAATTATACTGTGAAGTTGTGTATAAAAGCCGCGGCTTATATGACTTTCTGGGGAAATTTCGTAGGCTTCTATATGAGACAGGTTTCTGCCTCATTTTCTCTGTGCTGCGCTGATGAGTCCACAAAGGACGAAACAGTTCTGTCGGCAGATTGAGACAGGTATACCGTACTTCCGCACATATAAGCGCATTTGCTTATGTCCGGACAGAAGCGCACCCCTTAATTATAAGCGCATGGGCTTATATGTGAACACTATTGGTGTAACACCCGGGAGCTGAGTATACTGGTAAGCATTGTGATAACACCGTTGTTTAGGACACAGACAAACCTGTATTGCACATATAAGCGCATGGGCTTCTACCCGAACATGTTCACACTGCAAAAACTATTTTTTGTAGCAAATTTTCATGGGCTTATATGTGGGGAAGTACGGTATAAAGTAAGCTGATGTGTGAATTGTACTACCAGTATTCTGGCTTATCAGATACCGGTACCACCAATAGCACCGGCATTACAGCCATTTCAGCACAACCGGGCTTGTGTACACATCTTTTTCTACATAATTTCTTCAGTATTTCGCTCCTGCTCTTGTAGCAGTTGAGCACTCTTGCGTGGGGTAGTGCCTTTGCTGTTTGCGTTATGCAGAGCTCACTGACTTGTCAGTTTTAGCACTCTGGCAAGGTACGTTCGGGCCTGATTGGAAATTTTTATTTCCATTGCTATCAGGTTCGGCCTCATTTCCTCTGTGCTGCGCTGATGAGTTCAAAAAGAACGAAACAGCATGCTGTCCGCAGATTGAGTAATTTCTTCTGTTGATATCTGATTTACGTCACGATGTCTCATGCGCTTACAGCTTATACATGCGGCAGTGGCTGTATCATAGTCTGTACTGTCTACTGATCTAGGACAGTAGGTGTGGGTGTAGTGTGGGCGTAGTGTGGGTGTAGTGTGGGCGTAGTGTGGGTGTAGTGTGGGTGTAGTGTGGGCGTAGTGTGGGTGTAGTGTGGGTGTAGTGTGGGTGTAGTGTGGGTGTAGTGTGGGCGTAGTGTGGGTGTAGTGTGGGTGTAGTGTGGGCGTAGTGTGGGTGTAGTGTGGGCGTAGTGTGGGTGTAGTGTGGGCGTAGTGTGGGTGTAGTGTGGGTGTAGTGTGGGCGTAGTGTTGGCGTAGTGTGCGCGTAGTGTGGGCGTAGTGTGGGTGTAGTGTCGTATTTTGAAGCCGAGGCTACTTCACGAGAGCGGTTTACGTGCGATTTGGAATTTCCAAAAGTGCAGCTTTTACACGAAACTTTACGGGAAAACATTTTAGTACTCCCCCGTAAGCTTTTCTATAATCGGTACCCTAGCGAAGACTGTTCAACATTCTCCTCAGACTTCCTAACTCACACTTCCTGGGACAGGCTGGTCAGTGCACAGCCCCTACTTTACCTGCACACTACACCATGCACTCTGCTATGGTGAACCCTCATTGACAATTGAACTGAACGCTGGCCAGTCTGAACTCTGGCTGGTCTGAACGCTGGCCAGTCTGAACGCTGGCCGGTCTGAACGCTGGCCAGTCTGAACGCTGGCCGGTCCGAACGCTGGCCGGTCTGAACGCTGGCCGGTGTGAACGCTGGCCAGTCTCCGGTGGCATAATGACTACACCATAGCTTGGGTCCTGGTCGCAGTTTAGTTGAAATTTATGGCGTGTGCGCACATGTGTGTGTGTGTGTGTGTGTGTGTGTGTGTGTATGTGTGTGTGTGTGTGTGTGTGTGTGTGTGTGTGTGTGTGTGTGTGTTTGTGCAGTAATGGCAAACTCGATCCCTGGTCTTCAGGAGGAGTGCTAGAGACGACTAATCCAGAGATTTCAGTGATACTGATCGCCGAAGGTGCTCATCATTTAGATCTGCGAAGGTCTAATCCACGTGATCCAGCATCTGTTATCCAGGCCAGAGCTCAAGAGAAAGCTATTATTGCACGCTGGGTAGGAAAGGCACCAGTAGAAGCAGAAGGAACACGCTGGTTAAGGAAGACGGTGCATGAACCTGTGTCGGAAGAGTGGCTTACGTCCAGATAATCTGCTGAGACTATCCCTTCTTTGCAAGGTTAGTTTGTGTATCATCACTGACGGATGTTTTACTGAATTCAAAGCAACTTATTTTCTCTACATGTTTTGCAGATGAATATCATTGTGTTCTCATTCGTTTCTCTGTTCAGGACGAAAGATAGTAAGGGTGCGTTCAGACTACCGATAAAAAGTGATGGAATGGGAAAGTCGCCAAGGTGATTTGATCACGTGACGTTACTGGCACGTTACCGGCGGAAAAGTTTTACTGCCGCGGCTGCTGCGACAGTAAAACTTTTACCGGCAGTAAAAAAGTGCTCAGGCTGCATGCGCGCTGGGAAAAAAAGGGAAAATCCCTTGTCAGTGCCGCGGTGAGAGCTGAAAACTTCACGGTAACGTTATAGTTTGTTATCGGTAGTGTGAATGTCCACGGTTTATCGGGATTCACTTTTTGACGGGATTCACGGTTTGACGGGATTCACGGTTTGACGGGATTCACGGTTTGACGGCATTCACGGTTTGACGGCATTCACGGTTTGACGGGATTCACGGTTTGACGGCATTCACGGTTTGACGGCATTCACGGTTTGACGGCATTCACGATTTGACGGGATTCACGGTTTGACGGCATTCACGGTTTGACGGGATTCACGGTTTATCGGCATTCACGGTTTGACGGCATTCACGGTTTGACGGCATTCACGGTTTGACGGGATTCACGGTTTGACGGCATTCACGATTTGACGGGATTCACGGTTTATCAGCATTCACGGTTTGACGGCATTCACGGTTTGACGGCATTCACGGTTTGACGGCATTCACGGTTTATCGGCATTCACGGTTTGACGGCATTCACGGTTTGACGGCATTCACGGTTTGACGGGATTCACGGTTTGACGGCATTCACGATTTGACGGGATTCACGGTTTATCAGCATTCACGGTTTGACGGGATTCAAGGTTTGACGGCATTCACGGTTTGACGGCATTCACGGTTTCACGGCATTCACGGTTTGACGGGATTCACGGTTTGACGGCATTCACGGTTTGACGGGATTCACGGTTTATCGGCATTCACGGTTTGACGGCATTCACGGTTTGACGGGATTCACGGTTTGACGGGATTCACGGTTTGACGGCATTCACGATTTGACGGGATTCACGGTTTATCAGCATTCACGGTTTGACGGGATTCACGGTTTGACGGCATTCACGGTTTGACGGGATTCACGGTTTGACGGCATTCACGGTTTGACGGCATTCACGGTTTGACGGGATTCACGGTTTGACGGGATTCACGGTTTGACGGGATTCACGGTTTGACGGCATTCACGGTTTGACGGGATTCACGGTTTGACGGGATTCACGGTTTGACGGCATTCACGGTTTGACGGCATTCACGGTTTGACGGGATTCACGGTTTGACGGCATTCACGGTTTGACGGCATTCACGGTTTGACGGCATTCACGATTTGACGGGATTCACGGTTTGACGGCATTCACGGTTTGACGGGATTCACGGTTTATCGGCATTCACGGTTTGACGGCATTCACGGTTTGACGGCATTCACGGTTTGACGGGATTCACGGTTTGACGGCATTCACGATTTGACGGGATTCACGGTTTATCAGCATTCACGGTTTGACGGGATTCACGGTTTGACGGCATTCACGGTTTGACGGCATTCACGGTTTATCGGCATTCACGGTTTGACGGCATTCACGGTTTGACGGCATTCACGGTTTGACGGGATTCACGGTTTGACGGCATTCACGATTTGACGGGATTCACGGTTTATCAGCATTCACGGTTTGACGGGATTCAAGGTTTGACGGCATTCACGGTTTGACGGCATTCACGGTTTCACGGCATTCACGGTTTGACGGGATTCACGGTTTGACGGCATTCACGGTTTGACGGGATTCACGGTTTATCGGCATTCACGGTTTGACGGCATTCACGGTTTGACGGGATTCACGGTTTGACGGGATTCACGGTTTGACGGCATTCACGATTTGACGGGATTCACGGTTTATCAGCATTCACGGTTTGACGGCATTCACGGTTTGACGGGATTCACGGTTTGACGGCATTCACGGTTTGACGGCATTCACGGTTTGACGGGATTCACGGTTTGACGGGATTCACGGTTTGACGGGATTCACGGTTTGACGGCATTCACGGTTTGACGGGATTCACGGTTTGACGGGATTCACGGTTTGACGGCATTCACGGTTTGACGGCATTCACGGTTTGACGGGATTCACGGTTTGACGGCATTCACGGTTTGACGGGATTCACGGTTTATCGGCATTCATGGTTTGACGGCATTCACGGTTTGACGGGATTCACGGTTTGACGGCATTCACGATTTGACGGGATTCACGGTTTGACGGGATTCACGGTTTGACGGGATTCACGGTTTGACGGCATTCACGGTTTGACGGCATTCACGGTTTGACGGCATTCACGGTTTGACGGGATTCACGGTTTATCGGCATTCGCGGTTTGACGGGATTCGCGGTTTGACGGCATTCACGGTTTGACGGCATTCACGGTTTATCGGCATTCACGGTTTGACGGGATTCACGGTTTATCGGCATTCACGGTTTGACGGCATTCACGGTTTATCGGCATTCACGGTTTGACCGGATTCACGGTTTATCAGCATTCACGGTTTATCGGCATTCACGGTTTGACGGGATTCACGGTTTGACGGCATTCACGGTTTGACGGGATTCACGGTTTGACGGGATTCACGGTTTGACGGCATTCACGGTTTATCGGCATTCACGGTTTGACGGCATTCACGATTTGACGGGATTCACGGTTTATCAGCATTCACGGTTTGACGGGATTCACGGTTTGACGGCATTCACGGTTTGACGGCATTCACGGTTTATCGGCATTCACGGTTTGACGGCATTCACGGTTTGACGGCATTCACGGTTTGACGGGATTCACGGTTTGACGGCATTCACGGTTTGACGGGATTCACGGTTTATCGGCATTCACGGTTTGACGGCATTCACGGTTTGACGGCATTCACGGTTTGACGGGATTCACGGTTTGACGGCATTCACGATTTGACGGGATTCACGGTTTATCAGCATTCACGGTTTGACGGGATTCACGGTTTGACGGCATTCACGGTTTGACGGGATTCACGGTTTGACGGCATTCACGGTTTGACGGCATTCACGGTTTGACGGGATTCACGGTTTGACGGGATTCACGGTTTGACGGCATTCACGGTTTGACGGGATTCACGGTTTGACGGCATTCACGGTTTGACGGAATTCACGGTTTGACGGCATTCACGGTTTGACGGGATTCACGGTTTGACGGCATTCACGGTTTGACGGGATTCACGGTTTATCGGCATTCACGGTTTGACGGCATTCACGGTTTGACGGGATTCACGGTTTGACGGCATTCACGATTTGACGGGATTCACGGTTTGACGGGATTCACGGTTTGACGGGATTCACGGTTTGACGGCATTCACGGTTTGACGGCATTCACGGTTTGACGGCATTCACGGTTTGACGGGATTCACGGTTTATCGGCATTCGCGGTTTGACGGGATTCGCGGTTTGACGGCATTCACGGTTTGACGGCATTCACGGTTTGACGGGATTCACGGTTTGACGGGATTCACGGTTTATCGGCATTCACGGTTTATCGGCATTCACGGTTTGACGGGATTCACGGTTTGACGGCATTCACGGTTTGACGGGATTCACGGTTTGACGGGATTCACGGTTTGACGGCATTCACGGTTTATCGGCATTCACGGTTTGACGGCATTCACGGTTTGACGGGATTCACGGTTTATCGGCATTCACGGTTTGACGGGATTCACGGTTTGACGGGATTCACGGTTTGACGGCATTCACGGTTTGACGGCATGCACGGTTTGACGGGATTCACTGTTTGACGGGATTCACGGTTTGACGGCATTCACGGTTTGACGGGATTCACGGTTTGACGGCATTCACGATTTGACGGGATTCACGGTTTATCAGCATTCACGGTTTGACGGGATTCACGGTTTGACGGCATTCACGGTTTGACGGCATTCACGGTTTGACGGCATTCACGGTTTGACGGGATTCACGGTTTGACGGCATTCACGGTTTGACGGGATTCACGGTTTATCGGCATTCACGGTTTGACGGCATTCACGGTTTGACGGCATTCACGGTTTGACGGCATTCACGGTTTGACGGCATTCACGGTTTGACGGGATTCACGGTTTATCGGCATTCGCGGTTTGACGGCATTCACGGTTTGACGGCATTCACGGTTTGACGGCATTCACGGTTTATCGGCATTCACGGTTTGACGGGATTCACGGTTTATCGGCATTCACGGTTTGTCGGCATTCACGGTTTGACGGGATTCACGGTTTGACGGGATTCACGGTTTGACGGGATTCACGGTTTGACGGCATTCACGGTTTATCGGCATTCACGGTTTGACGGCATGCACGGTTTGACGGGATTCACGGTTTGACGGCATGCACGGTTTGACGGGATTCACAGTTTGACGGGATTCACGGTTTGACGGGATTCACGGTTTGACGGGATTCACGGTTTGACGGGATTCACGGTTTATCGGCATTCACGGTTTGACGAGATTCACGGTTTATCGGCATTCACGGTTTGACGGCATTCACGGTTTATCGGCATTCACGGTTTGACGGGATTCACGGTTTATCGGCATTCACGGTTTATCGGCATTCACGGTTTGACGGGATTCACGGTTTGACGGCATTCACGGTTTGACGGCATTCACGGTTTGACGGGATTCACGGTTTGACGGCATTCACGGTTTGACGGCATTCACGGTTTGACGGGATTCACGGTTTGACGGCATTCACGGTTTGACGGGATTCACGGTTTATCGGCATTCACGGTTTGACGGCATTCACGGTTTGACGGCATTCACGGTTTGACGGCATTCACGGTTTGACGGCATTCACGGTTTGACGGGATTCACGGTTTATCGGCATTCGCGGTTTGACGGCATTCACGGTTTGACGGCATTCACGGTTTGACGGCATTCACGGTTTATCGGCATTCACGGTTTGACGGGATTCACGGTTTATCGGCATTCACGGTTTGTCGGCATTCACGGTTTGACGGGATTCACGGTTTGACGGGATTCACGGTTTGACGGGATTCACGGTTTGACGGCATTCACGGTTTATCGGCATTCACGGTTTGACGGCATGCACGGTTTGACGGGATTCACAGTTTGACGGGATTCACGGTTTGACGGCATGCACGGTTTGACGGCATGCACGGTTTGACGGGATTCACAGTTTGACGGGATTCACGGTTTGACGGGATTCACGGTTTGACGGGATTCACGGTTTATCGGCATTCACGGTTTGACGAGATTCACGGTTTATCGGCATTCACGGTTTGACGGCATTCACGGTTTATCGGCATTCACGGTTTGACGGGATTCACGGTTTATCGGCATTCACGGTTTATCGGCATTCACGGTTTGACGGGATTCACGGTTTGACGGCATTCACGGTTTGACGGGATTCACGGTTTGACGGCATTCACGGTTTGACGGGATTCACGGTTTATCGGCATTCACGGTTTGACGGGATTCACGGTTTGACGGGATTCACGGTTTGACGGCATTCACGGTTTGACGGCATGCACGGTTTGACGGGATTCACGGTTTGACGGGATTCACGGTTTGACGGGATTCACGGTTTGACGGGATTCACGGTTTGACGGGATTCACGGTTTATCGGCATTCACGGTTTGACGGGATTCACGGTTCGACGGCATTCACGGTTCGACGGGATTCACGGTTTGACGGGATTCACGGTTTGACGGGATTCACGGTTTATCGGCATTCACGGTTTGACGGGATTCACGGTTCGACGGCATTCACGGTTCGACGTGTTATCGGCATTCACGGTTTGACGGGATTCACGGTTTGACGGCATTCACGGTTTGACGGGATTCACGGTTTATCGGCATTCACGGTTTGACGGCATTCACGGTCTATCGGCATTCACGGTTTGACGGGATTCACGGTTTGACGGGATTCACGGTTTATCGGCATTCACGGTTTGACGGGATTCACGGTTTGACGGGATTCACGGTTTGACGGCATTCACGGTTTGACGGCATGCACGGTTTGACGGGATTCACGGTTTGACGGGATTCACGGTTTGACGGGATTCACGGTTTGACGGGATTCACGGTTTGACGGCATTCACGGTTTATCGGCATTCACGGTTTGACGGCATGCACGGTTTGACGGGATTCACAGTTTGACGGGATTCACGGTTTGACGGGATTCACGGTTTGACGGCATGCACGGTTTGACGGGATTCACAGTTTGACGGGATTCACGGTTTGACGGGATTCACGGTTTGACGGGATTCACGGTTTGACGGGATTCACGGTTTATCGGCATTCACGGTTTGACGAGATTCACGGTTTATCGGCATTCACGGTTTGACGGCATTCACGGTTTATCGGGATTCACGGTTTATCGGCATTCACGGTTTATCGGCATTCACGGTTTATCGGCATTCACGGTTTGCCGGATTCACGGTTTGACGGCATTCACGGTTTGACGGGATTCACGGTTTGACGGGATTCACGGTTTGACGGCATTCACGGTTTATCGGCATTCACGGTTTGACGGGATTCACGGTTTGACGGCATTCACGGTTTGACGGGATTCACGGTTTATCGGCATTCACGGTTTGACGGGATTCACGGTTTGACGGGATTCACGGTTTGACGGCATTCTAGGTTTGACGGCATGCACGGTTTGACGGGATTCACGGTTTGACGGGATTCACGGTTTGACGGGATTCACGGTTTGACGGGATTCACGGTTTGACGGGATTCACGGTTTATCGGCATTCACGGTTTGACGGGATTCACGGTTCGACGGCATTCACGGTTCGACGGGATTCACGGTTGGACGGGATTCACGGTTTGACGGGATTCACGGTTTATCGGCATTCACGGTTTGACGGGATTCACGGTTCGACGGCATTCACGGTTCGACGTGTTATCGGCATTCACGGTTTGACGGGATTCACGGTTTGACGGCATTCACGGTTTGACGGGATTCACGGTTTATCGGCATTCACGGTTTGACGGCATTCACGGTTTATCGGCATTCACGGTTTGACGGGATTCACGGTTTGACGGGATTCACGGTTTATCGGCATTCACGGTTTGACGGGATTCACGGTTTGACGGGATTCACGGTTTGACGGCATGCACGGTTTGACGGGATTCACGGTTTGACGGGATTCACGGTTTGACGGGATTCACGGTTTGACGGGATTCACGGTTTATCGGCATTCACGGTTTGACGGGATTCACGGTTTGACGGCATTCACGGTTCGACGGGATTCACGGTTTGACGGCATTCACGGTTTGACGGCTTGCACGGTTTGATGGGATTCACGGTTTGACGGCATTCACGGTTTGACAGGATTCACGGTTTGACGGGATTCACGGTTTGACGGGATTCACGGTTTGACGGCATTCACGGTTTGACGGGATTCACGGTTTGACGGCATTCACGGTAGTCTGAACGCGCCCTAATGTGGCAGAGCAATTTTGCGATGCACGGTGCCATGGCTACGGAACTGGGAAATCCCCAGATTGCACCCATCATGCAGTCCCTGTAACCGACGAACTGGCTGATTGTAGACGTTGAGCTTAGCATGTGCAATTTAGACCTTTTTTTCAGTAGCGGCTGTGTGCTAGGTTGAAGAGTTGCTTCCAGAATTGTACACGTTGTACCAAGAGTACATAAACCAGAGTGTGCAACTCGGGATGGTTCCTGTGGGAGCGTAATCCGTGCAGTACGTCATTCTGACGGCATGGTAAGCCACAGGTACGGTGACAAGTTGCGTAACCAGTCACGGTGGTGCAGGTCACTGAGTTTGTCCTGATTTCGGTTTTTTGATACGGATAGCCTGGTAAATTTACTTGTCGGTGGATGTACACAGTCACACAAAAACACCGAAATCCTGTAACAGGACGTCTAGAATCAAGCAAACTTGGCTGATTTCCGGAATGTGAAACACGAAAATTTGAGCTGTACGCAAGTCACGGCTTGGCTGACCTCATCAGGGTGACGTAGTGCATGAACTGCGCTGTTTCAGATCTGATATGCACAGTTGCACACTCTGGTTTATGTACTCTTGGTTGTACCCTCTACTACTCAGCTGTTCGCATACCAGGGTGTCGTACACCCCTGCGATGGCGCATACAGGCAAATCAGCAAGGTGACGTCGCATCCCTGACTTCCTGTGTGAATGGCATTTCGTGAGTTCACATTCCACCTTCAGGACACAGTGTTTGTGAACTTAAAATGCTGCGTTACACAACTGAGATTTGCAGCAGTGAGTGGCAATGAACGGAATTTCGAAAATGTCCCTTTCTCTTCTTACAAAAGAACCCAAACCCAGCTCAAGATAAATACCAAGAAAGATAAATAAATTCAGAAGTGCTCTTGCTCATGCTGATCAATGTGTTATTTTAAGTGTGTCTGTAATTAGCTGTAGCGTATTTTCCTGTTGCTGTTTCCTGTCGCTGTTTCCTGTTGGTTTCCTTAGGTATTATTTACGCATTGCTCCCTGCTCAGTGCCGTCAACACAGTATACGTCACCATACTCATTGCTCCCTGCAGTCATCAGTCAGCATCCACTGCAGTCAGCAGCCAGCAGTCAGCATCCACTGCAGTCTGCGCTCTGGGCTGCTACAAAACATCTTGTAGAGTGGGACTATAGATTATGCCTCGAGTATGTTTACTTGCACAGTTGACATTCCGTGCTGCCACATCCACCGCCCCCAGTCTGCTAGTTGTCGCATAACTGCGTTGTGCACAGCTGCTATGACTAACCGTTAATAGCAGTTGTCGGCTGATGTGGCTTATCGTCTAGTCACAATGGAGTCAGTACCGTTGCCTGCAGTTTCAGGGGCATCTTTGCTTTCGTTTTAGTGTCATCTTCCTGTACTTCCCGTTAGCTTTCGTCATACTTGCACTTGGATTAGGCTACGCCGCAGTGACTTAGTCCAGCAGTCTACTTCTCCTAGTCATTTAGGTCATGTGAGTTTGTCATTGTGAATACTTTAGGTCATGTGAGTTAGTCATTGTGAATACTTGTGTTATTTGAATATACTTCAAGTACTACTACTAGTATGGCCATGTACATACATGTATGTGTATGTGTATGTGACTAGAGAAGCCCGATTTCAAGAATAAAACAGAGCTGTGTTCGTGCACAGCTCACTTCCCCTCAGTGTCTGCAGTGTTAGCATGCCTTGAAGCTTATAATATTCATGAGGTGGACATCAGTTGCTGCAAGTCTACATGTTGGATATCAGTTGCTGCAAGTCTACATGTTGGATATCAGTTGCTGCAAGTCTACATGTTGGATATCAGTTGTGGCAACTGCTATACATGCAGCAACTGCTGTACATGCAGCAACTACTGTACATGCTGACTCAATTACTGTGTACCGGCTACCGAACAGAGTTTGGTGGCTATCAAGCAACGCGAAAGTTCGAACTTTTCGTGGCGGTGATATTTCGCGAAAATATATTAAACCTTGTGAGGTTTAACTGTTAGCAAAGCATAATAGGGAGGTTCCGGAGTACGATTTTTCGTGCCAAAATCCGTAGAGGCGCTACGGATTTTTTATACTTCGTTTTCGAGCAGTGAAATGTTCCGGAGTACGGAACTTATGTGTTTGCCGTCATTGCCTAGGTTACGATCGCAAACATGTCACATTCCCGCGCTGTCTTTTTATTAATTTTGAAAATCTGTACAAAAAACTACCTGCCGAAAATCGATGTTTCTCGTACCAAATTTGTACGCGAAAAATCTTTCTGCACCCGATGACGCAAAATCTCCATACGAAACATGGTTCGTATGAAAGCCAGTCCACACGGATTCTGCGTGCCGAAGAATCGTATGGAGCACGCCTCGAAAAAATCCTTAGAGCCCATACGGATTTTGGCACGGAAAATCGTACCCCGGAACCTCTCTAATCACTTTTCCTCGAAGTCATTGAATTTTATAGGACCGTACCGTATGCAGCTCAGTCTCAAGCACGAGGCTGTAAATTTACTACTCCCTGCCGTCAAGTGTGTACCGAGGAAAGGGAAAGTATAACTTTCGCAAATCGGTGCAACTAATCATTAGGTGGTCCATGGTCGACAGAGCCAAGGCGTGCAGCAGCAACATCACAAAAAATGTGCCACCTGATCTTAGGTTGCGCTCACAAGACGATAAAAAACATGCGAGAAAGGTTGCGGCACACGGTCGAGTTTTGCAAGATGGGATGGGGCTGTTCCCATCAGGGAGTCGTATTTTACGACTCCCTGGTTCCCATCCAGATGATGGGGCAGTATTCCATCACTGGGCGCACACAGGCATGGTAGGCTTGGATGCGGCTGGGCACGTCTAAGAGGTGGAAAGCCTTACACAAAGCGCCAAGTCGCTGTGTTGCCCGAAGGTCTAGGGTACGAAGGTGGCGCCGGAAGGTAAGCTGGACATCGAAGCTGACGCCCAGGATTTAAGCTCCTCTTGTTCCTCTTGCTAGATCCGTCAGTCGGTGATATGTCCAATTGGGTGCAGTGGAAGCTGACAGTCAATGCCTGGGATTTGGCTGTTTCAAACTTTATGATAAGAAAGCGAATGGATAAGACGCATTTAGAAAAAAAAGGACAGGAATTTGAAACTCACGAAAGAAAAATTATCTAACAGAGGAGTTAAGCGAGTATCAGGGGTGGCAGGGTGGTCAAGAAGAGCTAGGGAGCGGGCTAGTCAGAGCAACAATATGGTAAGCAACTTATGCTAAACGTCTTACTTGCTATGGTCCGAACACCATCCAGCAGCAGGTTCCAGAGTGCAGATCCGAGTCGAACCCAGGATACTGCCCTGGGGGACTCCAGCCTGAATTGGGAGCCTTGCGGATGTATGGCCACCAATGACCACTTGAAGGTAGCGTTCACTGAGGTAGCTGCTGAGCCACTGGTCACGTGGTGCAGTTGCCCACGTAGGCCGTATACAGGTATACGTTAGACTTGTGTACCACACCGGGGTGTGATACGCATACAAACGCAACGGCTATGTCAATGGCGAGTATGCGTGCCACGCCTCTCTCCCTGGCTGTATGCAGCCACTGGTGGTGGGGGCTGGTAAGTAGATCGATCGGCTGCACTATGGGCATGTCGAAATCCGGACAGTCTGGTTGAGAAGACGTTGTTCGACTTGAGGAAATTAGTGATCGCTCTGTTGATGATTGTCTCCATCACCTTGGACAGAATAAACAAGAGCGAAACTGGTCGGTAATTGGAGGGTAGATACATAGATTTCCGTTTGAATATGCACATACACTGTAGGGACTATGTTGGCAATCTTCCATGCCTTGGGCTGTATCCCAGTTTGGAAGCATTGGGTAAACAGTATAGAAAGCGGTTGCACCAGTTCAGCAGAGCAGGTTTTCAACACTCGTGCCGGTATCCCATCCGGCCCGGTTGCCTTTGATGGGTTGAGCTGACGAAGCCGAAGGGTGCGTCCAACTGCAGCCACACGGAAACGGACATCCGAAAGGGTCTGGTCATTTCGAGGTCTGGCATTATGGAAATGGGGCTGACAGGTCATCTTGGCCGAGACCGCATTTGCTTGCAAAATACTAGCGGGCCGGCCATGCATTCCGCTTTGCCTGCACTGGCTGTGTACTCACGTCCATCGGGATCACGTAACGTCGGAACAGATTGACTGCGCCCATTGCCAGAGGCACGCTTGGCAGTTCACCACCAGTCACTGGGTGGCAGCTGCTTTGAGGTCATTTTCTGTCTCAGTTTCGCCATGAAAGCACTCTTGGCAGTTTTGAGACAGGCAATCGTTGAGAGCCGTGCATCTTGGTATAATAATAATAATAATAATTCGCGGGATTCGCGTTGGCATCGCTTGAATGTCCAGAAACACACAAACTAGCCTTCGCTTCCGCAGGCCACCACTATATCTTGGTATGCTGACTGCAAATCGTCATCAGACGGGTCGTCTGTCAGGCACCTAGTACCTCCATGCACGGCGTTTTTTAGCAACGGTACATGAGCACCCTGCACGCGCGGATAACGTGTCTGAAGCTAGAGATACTTCAGACGCCAACATCTCTCCGCAGGACGAGAAGATCAAGATTCTGCGGGATTTCACCACCCGGTGCGATTGCTCCATTGAGCAACGACCACCTGATATTGTTCTGGTTGATGGACCTGCCAAGAAGGCACTGATCATTGGCATTGCTGTACCTGGTGATCCACGCTTTGCTGAAAAGGAAGTTGAGAAACGGGTCAAGTATCCACTTTTTGCTCGCGAGATCCATCGGCTATGGCAAGTTGAAACTCAGATTGTTCCTGTGGTAGTTGAAACTTTGGGTACTGTTTCCAAACAGGTGCCAGGATACCTTGACACCATCGGTATCACCAGCTTAATCCTGCTCTGAGGCAGAATAATGAATTGCAAAAGAATGCTCTCCTTGGCTCGGCAGCTATCCTGTGTAAGGTCTTTGATTTGTAATGCTCTGGGGTGGGTGGTGGAGTTCTTTCGTCCTATTTCCTTCCAAACCCTTGCCCTCTTGTGTTTCCAATGATCGGTATTCTAGAATAATGCAAAACTGTACGTGGTCAGCGAGTAGTAAAAATACCACTCCCCGATTCCGATCAACTGAGGCTTGTGTCTGTTGTGATCAGCGTTACTGACTGTCACTGTCATGCTAGCCTGTCAACCGTCCAACAATGTTGTTACATGACAGGTCAGGTGTGCGTGGCCTAAATTTAGATTTTGGTCTACCACAGATCTCCTTTAGGCCCAAGTATTAGTATTAAAATAGTATACTGGCTGACATGACTCAAGCAGTCAAGGGTTGTATCTTTCTGCGGCACAGAGCAAGGTCACGCAATGGCGTGCTGATGACATTCAGTGACAAGCGGATAGTTGCAGTGGCATACAAGAAGTCATGGGGGCCTGTCTGGCTGTTACAAGCATGTTTTGATCTTCATTCTGCATTATTCTAGACTATTGTATACTATAAACTGTAGTCTGTAGTCTGTATCGCGCAGCCTGATCCCAAGACACTCTTGGTTTCGTTGACATCCGCTTCTGGAACCGTAAAGACGTGTGACATTTCACGGTCTGCCTGGCTTGCATTATGGTTCAGGCGTTTTCGCTGGAGAAGCATGCTTTGGTCAACATGGTCAATCGCTTGGGACACGTCGACTGCCCGAAATACGGCCGATGTGCACACAGTCACTGTGTTGCTCACAGTAATCTGGTAATCATGGTAATACTACTAAACTAACTAATTACTTTGCTCCGCGTGCAATAGCTTTGCTGCTTCTGTATGCATCGTTTCGAGAGGGAGTTCGCTTCATTGAGAGCCCTGCGTCAGCCCTGCGTGTCAGCCCTGCGTCAGCCCTGCGTCAGCCTTGCTGTCTGAGTGTCTGATCTATTCGCTTTCAACCTGGACCACTGGATCCCGCAAGCACACTGGTACCTGGTAAGGGTTGTCCACCGGCTTTTTGTTTGGTAAATACTGAATATCAATCAAGTCCGGCTTGTTGAATTGTCCTCGGGTTACTCTGTTGTTAGGAGGTGACCTTTAATCGCTACGACAAATACGGCAACTAATACCAGATCTGTGCGCGTGTGTGCTGGTGTTGAACAGTGTGCTGACGAGCACACACAAGCACAATGGTGCTTGTGTGCAAGGTGAGAGAAATACCTAAGTCCTTGCTTGCCATGGTCTTCAACACAGCCATGGTGACTACAGTGGAGCACGGCTGGTGTTGTTGTTGTTGTTCCTCAGAGTTACCGTACTCGCGCGATTAGAGCCCTCTACTGAATAGTGCCCTCTCTTGAATAGTGCCCTAGTCTCTAAGAGCAGTGAAAACATAAAACCCTCTCTTGAATAGTGCCGGAGTCTCTAAGAGCAGTGAAAACATAAAACCCTCTCTTGAATAGTGCCCGAGTCTCTAAGAGCAGTGAAAACATAAAGCCCTCTCTTGAATAGTGCCCGAGTCTCTAAGAGCAGTGAAAACATAAAGCCCTCTCTTGAATAGTGCCCGAGTCTCTAAGAGCAGTGAAAACATAAAACCCTCTCTTGAATAGTGCCCGAGTCTCTAAGAGCAGTGAAAACATAAAGCCCTCTTTTGAATAGTGCCCTAGTCTCTAAGAGCAGTGAAAACATAAAACCCTCTCTTGAATAGTGCCCGAGTCTCTAAGAGCAGTGAAAACATAAAACCCTCTCTTGAATAGTGCCCGAGTCTCTAAGAGCAGTGAAAACATAAAGCCCTCTTTTGAATAGTGCCCTAGTCTCTAAGAGCAGTGAAAACATAAAACCCTCTCTTGAATAGTGCCCGAGTCTCTAAGAGCAGTGAAAACATAAAACCCTCTCTTGAATAGTGCCCGAGTCTCTAAGAGCAGTGAAAACATAAAACCCTCTCTTGAATAGTGCCCTAGTCTCTAAGAGCAGTGAAAACATAAAACCCTCTCTTGAATAGTGCCCGAGTCTCTAAGAACAGTGAAAACATAAAGCCCTCTTTTAAATAGTGCCCTAGTCTCTAAGAGCAGTGAAAACATAAAACCCTCTCTTGAATAGTGCCCGAGTCTCTAAGAGCAGTGAAAACATAAAACCCTCTCTTGAATAGTGCCCGAGTCTCTAAGAGCAGTGAAAACATAAAACCCTCTCTTGAATAGTGCCCGAGTCTCTAAGAGCAGTGAAAACATAAAACCCTCTCTTGAATAGTGCCCGCGTCTCTAAGAGCAGTGAAAACATAAAGCCCTCTCTTGAATAGTGCCCTAGTCTCTAAGAGCAGTGAAAACATAAAGCCCTCTCTTGAATAGTGCCCGAGTCTCTAAGAACAGTGAAAACATAAAACCCTCTCTTGAATAGTGCCCTAGTCTCTAAGAGCAGTGAAAACATAAAACCCTCTCTTGAATAGTGCCCGAGTCTCTAAGAGCAGTGAAAACATAAAACCCTCTCTTGAATAGTGCCCTAGTCTCTAAGAGCAGTGAAAACATAAAGCCCTCTCTTGAATAGTGCCCGAGTCTCTAAGAGCAGTGAAAACATAAAGCCCTCTCTTGAATAGTGCCCGAGTCTCTAAGAGCAGTGAAAACATAAAGCCCTCTCTTGAATAGTGCCCGAGTCTCTAAGAGCAGTGAAAACATAAAACCCTCTCTTGAATAGTGCCCGAGTCTCTAAGAGCAGTGAAAACATAAAGCCCTCTCTTCAATAGTGCCCGAGTCTCTAAGAGCAGTGAAAACATAAAGCCCTCTCTTGAATAGTGCCCTAGTCTCTAAGAGCAGTGAAAACATAAAGCCCTCTCTTGAATAGTGCCCGAGTCTCTAAGAGCAGTGAAAACATAAAGCCCTCTCTTTAATAGTGCCCTAGTCTCTAAGAGCAGTGAAAACATAAAGCCCTCTCTTGAATAGTGCCCGCGTCTCTAAGAGCAGTGAAAACATAAAGCCCTCTCTTGAATAGTGCCCGAGTCTCTAAGAGCAGTGAAAACATAAAACCCTCTCTTGAATAGTGCCCTAGTCTCTAAGAGCAGTGAAAACATAAAGCCCTCTCTTGAATAGTGCCCTAGTCTCTAAGAGCAGTGAAAACATAAAGCCCTCTCTTGAATAGTGCCCGAGTCTCTAAGAGCAGTGAAAACATAAAACCCTCTCTTGAATAGTGCCCGAGTCTCTAAGAGCAGTGAAAACATAAAACCCTCTCTTGAATAGTGCCCTAGTCTCTAAGAGCAGTGAAAACGTAAAGCCCTCTCTTGAATAGTGCCCCCCGTCCAGTGTAATAAAAGAGTGAAAAGGGCCTATTTTACGGGCAAACAGAATACAATTGACACCAAAACAATTAATAATGTAATAAAAGCGTACTGTATAATGAAAATTAATGTCCAGTTCGCAGGTGAGCCAGGTGGAGGTTTTGTTTATACCAATAGGTGCCACTGTTCACTTTTGGTTCAATTTTGGTTGTCAATTTCTGATCCCAGTCTCCTTGAGGTACTTGAATGGTTGAAAAAGGCACCCTGCCGAGAATATTTGCCTGATGGAAGGGCTGAACATGCTAAGATGGTTTGTGAGATTCTCGGGGGTGGGTTTGTAGTGCCGCAGGACCGGCGGAAGCAGTTTGTGATTGGTCCGGCCATAAGCTTGTCTTTCATGCATTGCCACGGTGCAGTATGATTGGCGGGTATACACATGTCTTTCATGCATTGGCACCGTGTATGATATGGCGGGTATACGGTATACACTTGACCTCAGCAGTAAACACACATTGATGGACAACAAGTTGGTCCGGCCATGGCCTAACCAACCGGACCGGTTCCGCCGGGCTTGAGTGGTTGTTAGTATACCCAGGGAGCCTTCTTCACCATTGTCCGCGTGTCTTGATAGTGTTTCTGAAATCAATATTTAACTCAGCGAGAGAGAGAGGGAGAGAGGGAGAGAGAGAGAGAGAGAGAGAGAGAGAGAGAGAGAGAGAGAGAGAGAGAGAGAGAGAGAGAGAGAGAGAGAGAGAGAGAGGGAGAGAGAGAGAACGAGAGGGAAAGATGGAGATAGACAGAGTCAGTGATAGGCTGGTAAGCAGAAAGACAGACAGACAGACTGACAGACTGGCAGCCTGGGAGACAGAGAGATCATGCTAGGTTATGGGGAGTACAGTCAGTGTGCAAAATTGACGGTATACAGATTATCACCCGCAGCCATGCCGGTGGCAGGGCGTTCCAGCTAGAAGCACCACTGGAAGAGCAGCGCCGGTGGCAGGGCGTTCCAGCTAGAAACACCACTGGAAGAGCAGCGCCGGTGGCAGGGCGATCCAGCTAGAAGCACCACTGGAAGAGCAGCGCCGGTGGCAGGGCGATCCAGCTAGAAGCACCACTGGAAGAGCAGCGCCGGTGGCAGGGCGATCCAGCTAGAAGCACCACTGGAAGAGCAGCGCCGGTGGCAGGGCGTTGCAGCTAGAAGCACCACTGGAAGAGCAGCGCCGGTGGCAGGGCGTTCCAGCTAGAAGCACCACTGAAAGAGCAGCGCCGGTGGCAGGGCGTTCCAGCTAGAAACACCACTGGAAGAGCAGCGCCGGTGGCAGGGCGTTCCAGCTAGAAGCACCACTGGAAGAGCAGCGCCGGTGGCAGGGCGATCCAGCTAGAAGCACCACTGGAAGAGCAGCGCCGGTGGCAGGGCGATCCAGCTAGAAGCACCACTGGAAGAGCAGCGCCGGTGGCAGGGCGTTCCAGCTAGAAACACCACTGGAAGAGCAGCGCCGGTGGCAGGGCGTTCCAGCTAGAAACACCACTGGAAGAGCAGCGCCGGTGGCAGGGCGTTCCAGCTAGAAGCACCACTGGAAGAGCAGCGCCGGTGGCAGGGCGTTCCAGCTAGAAGCACCACTGGAAGAGCAGCGCCGGTGGCAGGGCGTTCCAGCTAGAAGAACCACTGGAAGAGAAGCGCCGGTGGCGGGGCGTTCCAGCTAGAAGCACCACTGGAAGAGCAGCGCCGGTGGCAGGGCGTTCCAGCTAGAAACACCACTGGAAGAGCAGCGCCGGTGGCAGGGCGATCCAGCTAGAAGCACCACTGGAAGAGCAGCGCCGGTGGCAGGGCGATCCAGCTAGAAGCACCACTGGAAGAGCAGCGCCGGTGGCAGGGCGTTGCAGCTAGAAGCACCACTGGAAGAGCAGCGCCGGTGGCAGGGCGATCCAGCTAGAAGCACCACTGAAAGAGCAGCGCCGGTGGCAGGGCGTTCCAGCTAGAAACACCACTGGAAGAGCAGCGCCGGTGGCAGGGCGTTCCAGCTAGAAGCACCACTGGAAGAGCAGCGCCGGTGGCAGGGCGATCCAGCTAGAAGCACCACTGGAAGAGCAGCGCCGGTGGCAGGGCGATCCAGCTAGAACCACCACTGGAAGAGCAGCGCCGGTGGCAGGGCGTTCCAGCTAGAAACACCACTGGAAGAGCAGCGCCGGTGGCAGGGCGTTCCAGCTAGAAACACCACTGGAAGAGCAGCGCCGGTGGCAGGGCGTTCCAGCTAGAAGCACCACTGGAAGAGCAGCGCCGGTGGCAGGGCGTTCCAGCTAGAAGCACCACTGGAAGAGCAGCGCCGGTGGCAGGGCGTTCCAGCTAGAAACACCACTGGAAGAGAAGCGCCGGTGGCGGGGCGTTCCAGCTAGAAGCACCACTGGAAGAGCAGCGCCGGTGGCAGGGCGTTCCAGCTAGAAACACCACTGGAAGAGCAGCGCCGGTGGCAGGGCGATCCAGCTAGAAGCACAACTGGAAGAGCAGCGCCGGTGGCAGGGCGTTCCAGCTAGAAGCACCACTGGAAGAGCAGCGCCGGTGGCAGGGCGATCCAGCTAGAAGCACCACTGGAAGAGCAGCGCCGGTGGCAGGGCGATCCAGCTAGAAGCACCACTGGAAGAGCAGCGCCGGTGGCAGGGCGTTCCAGCTAGAAGCACCACTGGAAGAGCAGCGCCGGTGGCAGGGCGTTCCAGCTAGAAACACCACTGGAAGAGCAGCGCCGGTGGCAGGGCGTTCCAGCTAGAAGCACCACTGAAAGAGCAGCGCCGGTGGCAGGGCGTTCCAGCTAGAAGCACCACTGGAAGAGCAGCGCCGGTGGCAGGGCGTTCCAGCTAGAAGCACCACTGGAAGAGAAGCGCCGGTGGCAGGGCGTTCCAGCTAGAAACACCACTGGAAGAGCAGCGCCGGTGGCAGGGCGTTCCAGCTAG